TCTACGCTGATTTTTTGTTATTAAAGAACTTGCATATAAATGTATATAGCATATGATTCTAGTTTTAAATTTATTTGTATTCCAATTCACTAAATTAAAGCTGTACATGTTGTGTTTTTGCAATTTCTTACGAATATGCTAACCTCTTTAGAGACGACGTATATATAGGTATGCGCTGATTGATCGACGACTAATTTAGCACTAAGCCAATAATTATAACCTAATTCGTTTTTAGGCGACGACATGTTTAAGAATAGGGGTTGAATCCCTTTAATACGTAACTGATACTTTTTTAATTTAAACTCGACTACAATCTTTGATGAATACAATAAAATAAATTAATTATTAACGCAGCATTCACATGTTCTGTAACTAAGCAAAAATTTGCAACTATCTTTCCAATAATAATAATAATAATAATACAAGTTTGGTTATTTTATTCAAAAAAGAGTTCAATTTGTGTTTTAGCTGTGATGCATAAAAACTGTTGGAAAACTGATTCCTCAAGTAGTATTTTCTTAGTTTGTTCTCTTCGGTATCAACGAGGTATATATTTTTCAACTTGCGTACACAGTTATCGCAGAGGTGTCTAAACTGAGTTCATAAATTTTGAAAGCAGACATCCTCTGTTAATTTACACGTTCATATTTCAAACTGCCACGTGTAATTAGAGTAATGCGACGATACATCCTGGAAATATGGTTTACCACGCTGCATTGAATTTTGTTTCATTTCGCTTTGCAACAATATCGTGACTAATCCAATTCTTTTAAACGTTAGTGATTCAATTGTGTAAATAACAATTCAACTGTAATAGCTCGAGCACTCGTATACAATCGTGCCATGTAACAGAATTTGCAATAAGCAAGTAGGATTATGTCAGGAAACGAAAAACTTTAATTAAAGAGTATCTTTAATTTAAGCTCTTTTTTTATCAACTAGTCCATACAAATCGTCAGGTTTCATAATTATTCAAAATACAAACAAGATTATGTGTTTTCGAGTATGTTTCTCGTTACATCAAAAAATAGAAAACATTTTAGTTTTTAATTCGAAAAATCCTTATACGATCGTTTTTAAAACGAGGAAGCAACCTTAAAAACTGTGATATAAAGGAAACGATGACAAAAGTTATCTACATTTCCTAAATACAAAGGTCTTTTTATTTCAGTCTCAGATAAATTATTCTTCACAATAGCGAGCAAGATGTCTATCGTTCTTCCCAAGTCTTTGTTATTTACCGTACATATCAAAACACGATCTCGGTTTACACACGATGCATTCGTATTATGCTTTTATGTTTATGATCGTGTTATTAAGTAACTGTCACTAGTGTAACGGAACGTGTAATTAGTAATGATGGTGACGAATCACTTGTTTGTACGAGGATATACGCACTTCGCAAAATGAAATATTTAAAATGAGACAGATAATACTCTCTGTGTCCTCGTAATATGCACTACGATTAAATCTCAACGTACGTGAATAAATATTGGAATAAATATTAGCACAAGTTAAGAATGTAGGTATTCCAATAAAAACGATCAAAGCTCGATAAATATTACGTAAATTGTAGATACGTTGGTGTGAATAATTATAGACTCCGAGTAACTTTTACATCTTTAGTAACATTTAAACAAAAACTTAACAAAACATTATACATAATATATTTCTCGATTAGAAATAATGAAAAATAGAAAAATACAAATATAGTTCTTTTTCCTGGTTTTTGTTTAAATACCAATAACAATCTAAAAGTTACTTTCAGTCTTTAATTATGCACACCACTGTATTTACATAAATTCATATTTTACAAGCTACTCTACACAAGCAAACTACCATAGCTAGGAGTGTTATTATGTTGAGAATAAAGCTTATAACAAAGAGAGATTTTGCACATTTGTATTGAAACTTTGTACTGCCCGGGGCTATTAAATAATTCTAAAGCAAACATTTCCCAGTACACATTCTTTATAATATAACATATATGTTACTAATAATAAATTGGCTGCGACGTGGAGCAGGGAATGGTTGCACGTGAAGAAATGAGTGGAAAATGTGGAATACAATTTTTTTGTTCGATGCTCTGTTTTCGAGAAAATCGATTCGAAAAATTTGCCCGGTACGCGTGCACTCAACCGCGTGCCGAGATCGCATAATTCGCTGTACTATACTCTCGCTTCTGTTCGTATTTACACTTATGGGCATAGTAATAGACTGTACATATATATATATATATATATATATAATTATTTATTATACATTACCTGTGTAACTTGTATCTGCATAATTTATCGTCCACAGTTTAAGGAACAATGTTAACTCGACTGTCCGCCCGCGCATATATGTTACTTTACAAACACGAGTTAAGAAAAGAGTAGAAACGTGTTCGACATAACGCTCAGAAACTCGGGAAGAGCGTTTTTGTCATTTTTGTAAGACTGTATATACAGCAGAACCTCGAGTATCCGTGGGTTAAGCAGAGTGACATAAATATTCAGATAATAGAACAGTTAGTTAAAGTGCCGGATGTCACCTTTATTGATTTGTACAATAAATCGTTTTGTACATAATTTGCCTTTGATTGAACAGATGAAGGGTATTTAAATAACAGATATGATTCTGATATCGGAGGACTGGATAATTGAGCTTCTGCTGTACTAGTCAATTTTTTGGAAATGGTAGATTCGGTGTCAAATCGCGAAATACAAGCTAGTAAAGTATATATTTCCGTTTTTAAGTTCTTCTAATTTCATAATTTCTTTTTTGATTCGCAGAATGCTTCGATTAGTTCTCCTTTTCGTCTCCATTTCCGGAGCTTTTCACGAGACTACAGCAGCCTCGCAACATATTAACAAAGACCTAGCCAACCACTACAATGCACGTTTTCACGCTTACGAGGAACCGTACAGTATTGAGTACACATATCATAATTACGAGCAAATGAGTCGTTTTCTACGGACAACGTCGCTTCGTTTCCAAAACCTGACTGCCTTATACTCTATAGGAAAATCTGTGAAAGGTAAGTACGTTTCTTGGGATACCGTTCTAATCGGACGTACCAGTGAGCAAATCATTATTCTTCGCGATATTAACCCTTTGGAGTCGAGTGGCGACTCTAAGTCGCCATTAAAAATTCTGATAGGATGTTTCGAAATAATTGTAACGTTATCAGATTTAGTTTATATTTAAAAAACTGCTAAAAGTGTAACTATTGCACGAGTCGCATAATTCAATTTCATAGGTATAAAATGCACCGAGTTACATAACATGGAGATACTGTAGGTCAGAAGAACTGTTTTGGATTTCGAGTTAAAATGCCTTCGACTGCAAAGGGTTAATATTCGATAAATAACAGTTAAGATATAGTGAGAATAAGATATTCATAATTCTGCTTGTGTTTAACAAACGTGAGAAACTAAATGAAGATCAATTATATATTATGGAAATAAACTTGAGAAAGGTGAATGGAAATTCTTTCCAACTGTCGAAGAATGGTGGTGTTCAGTTTTTAATTAGTCATGTGTCATGTTTAGATTTAATAACGTTGCTTGTTGCTTGCTGAATCTAGTCCTTGCACGCTTGTATCGTACTCTTTAATTTATCTGTCTCGTAATTTGTTATATTTCGTTATATATTATGTACTTTTATTCATAGCTTATAGTTTCTTCTGATTCTGTTTGAATGTATTCAAACATTATTGGTAGAATTATTATCATTGCGCGTATCTGTTACCGAACGTTTATTACCAAAAATGTACAACATTTTTTATCTAATTTCGCTACAACGTATCTTCCAACCGCAGCAGAAATGAATTCTCTGGATTCAATTTGTAGAGAATAAGCTGCGAAAATGGGAGCTTTGCATAATGATCCGGTGACAAGGAAACGTGAAAATCAAATAACAACGGAAAATTCCATGTTACAGGACGCGACTTATGGGTGATGGTTGTTTCTTCCTCGCCATACGAACATATGATTGGCAAACCTGATGTGAAGTACGTAGCTAATATACATGGGAATGAAGCCGTGGGTCGTGAGTTAATGTTACATCTGATTCATGTAAGTAGTCATATGATACACTTTGTACCGCCATTGACCCCGAGTTTATATTCGTACTCAAGGGAAATACTATTAACTTAATCGTCGATTTCTCAGAAATTTATTGGAAACGTTCGTCACAAATATTTAGAGAAATTCTTTCTGCAACACGAATGTAGAGCAGCGTGTAATGTATGCGAGAGGTTTTAATTGGAGCGAATATATCTTCTCCCGTGAAATGATTATCAGGTGGCACTGTGTCCGATATCAAACACCTTCTATTAATTTGAAAGTTATTTATGCAAGGATTATCGGTGTGCTACCTATGAATACTTCATTCTGCTCGTGAAACCTTCGTGACGTATTCGATTGAACAGTAAAACAGACATGTCGATATAATAATACAGGTCTTCGACGTTCAAACTGATAAGGATGCATCTTTTACATCAATTTTTCCGTAGTCACTATACGTTCTAAATATAAATTATTGTTTATAAATGATACGTAAATCAGTTGAAGACATCGAATTATTTACTCGTTTTAAACAAAATTACGAATTAAGATAACCTTTATGGATCGAATTTTTTCTGTCGATATAGGCAAATTTATATATCTCGAAACTATAAATTCATAATTTAAAAATCAAATTTAATTTACTACGATGTGTTAAGTAAAAATTGACTATCGCGATGTGTAACATCTTTGATTACATTGGAGAAACTACAAAACAAGATACTTTTGTTATATTATAATTATAGTAAAACATTATTTAACACAATATTGATGTAGATTTGGAGTGTGAATAAAGCAAAGTGAAACTGCTGAAGTTTCACTTTGCAAAGCAAATGCTGTAATTATATATATTTGCGTATCGAATTGCAGAATATATTTGATACAGTTCATTGAAAAGACTATCTCGTCGGAAAGTAGACAGATAATTATGAAGAATATATTTTTGTATGCACTCTCCTTGATTTATAATAAATCCTCGATAATTGCCACCTCAGCAAAATGCATTTTACCAAAACGCACAGAGCTGGGTAAAATTTACAGTAAAAATATTTCAAATACAATATTAATAGTGTATTTAGAGTAGCAAGTGGAATTCGAACAAATGTTTTTTATTTCAACAATCTAAAGTACAAGATACTTTAGCTTCGTAATAAAATAGTATTTAAAATATTTGTTGTCTATTTCCATAGACAAAATACAGATTTGCAAACGGAAAAGTACAGATTTCATTCTTTGTTATTTGAAATAACGTTTTATCCCACTTGACTCACGCGTATTAGATACACTGATTTACAACTGAAATTAGTTACAAAGAAATCCAACAGTAGGTATTCATAGAAACTGGCGGATATAGAAAACTTGGGTTTTCCCGAAACCGCAACAAGAAACGCAACATCTTACGTAGCTAATTGGTTACCTTTTTAATCGCATGACCTTTGATACCTGCATGTGTATTTTCAGTCGTGGTTTTCTACAAGTATGAAGACTGTAACGTCGTTTATTTCTGTTCATTTCTTGTTTCATTTTAGAATTAGATTTGCGACACTTAGCGGTAACACATTATCTTTATAATATCCGGAAGTCTAAAATTTACAATCATTATAAAAATTGCTTAATAATTTATTTAACGATACTAGCTATTTCAAACTTTCGCTTGGGTTTATCACGTAGAGAAAGATTATTTAGATTTTTCTTAGTATAGCACAATACTTGAAAATTCGATTAATAGGCTTAGATAAAGTGTTAGATAAACTTTTAAATAGATTTAAGATTTAAATTTAAGAATTAGGTTTAATCAATCGGTAAAATATTATACAAATGTCTATGTTAGTCAGCCAGGAACAAGCGTATACAAATTGCATAGCACAATTTTCATTACCAACAATTATACTCAAAAATATAATAATTCATTGGCTGGGACATAGGCGATCTTTAATTCATAGATTTAATGATGTATGCTATTTGTACGTGAAATTATTGTAAGCTTCCATTGGCGAGAAGAAAATACGTTTTTATTCGTCGAAGCAATATATTCTCTTCTAAATTTTCAGCATTTCGTAACCAATTACGGATCAGATCCATATATTACATGGCTGTTAGACAATACTAGAATACATATTCTTCCGTCGATGAATCCTGACGGTTTTGAAGTGTCGAAAGAAGGATACTGCGAAGGCGGACAAGGGAGGTAAGAATTTTAAGGATTTATTGATCACAGGCCCCCTTTTATATATTTGTTCATTAACGAAATACAGTAAATTCTCCCCAATTTTCCTTCAACTTGTAAACAAGAGTGGACAATTTAGAAAGAGGAGATACGATTATTCTAGCATCGCGGCTCATTTTTATAGTTTCCGATTGTNCGTGGTTTTCTACAAGTATGAAGACTGTAACGTCGTTTATTTCTGTTCATTTCTTGTTTCATTTTAGAATTAGATTTGCGACACTTAGCGGTAACACATTATCTTTATAATATCCGGAAGTCTAAAATTTACAATCATTATAAAAATTGCTTAATAATTTATTTAACGATACTAGCTATTTCAAACTTTCGCTTGGGTTTATCACGTAGAGAAAGATTATTTAGATTTTTCTTAGTATAGCACAATACTTGAAAATTCGATTAATAGGCTTAGATAAAGTGTTAGATAAACTTTTAAATAGATTTAAGATTTAAATTTAAGAATTAGGTTTAATCAATCGGTAAAATATTATACAAATGTCTATGTTAGTCAGCCAGGAACAAGCGTATACAAATTGCATAGCACAATTTTCATTACCAACAATTATACTCAAAAATATAATAATTCATTGGCTGGGACATAGGCGATCTTTAATTCATAGATTTAATGATGTATGCTATTTGTACGTGAAATTATTGTAAGCTTCCATTGGCGAGAAGAAAATACGTTTTTATTCGTCGAAGCAATATATTCTCTTCTAAATTTTCAGCATTTCGTAACCAATTACGGATCAGATCCATATATTACATGGCTGTTAGACAATACTAGAATACATATTCTTCCGTCGATGAATCCTGACGGTTTTGAAGTGTCGAAAGAAGGATACTGCGAAGGCGGACAAGGGAGGTAAGAATTTTAAGGATTTATTGATCACAGGCCCCCTTTTATATATTTGTTCATTAACGAAATACAGTAAATTCTCCCCAATTTTCCTTCAACTTGTAAACAAGAGTGGACAATTTAGAAAGAGGAGATACGATTATTCTAGCATCGCGGCTCATTTTTATAGTTTCCGATTGTCAACAATTATAAAAACGAGGTGCAAGGCTCAAATAATCGTATCTCCTTTTCCCAAATTGTCAATTTTTGTTTACAAGCTGAAGGAAAATTAGGGAGAATTTACTGTAGACTAAGATTTTCGTAAAATTGAAAAATTTGGTATCCAACCGTAACGTAAAACGTTAATTATTAATTTACAAATACTGCTTTTTTCCTTTTTACTTCTTGGTGTTACTTAGCTGGAAATTTTTGTGTACACTCTACAAAAGATATACGTTAACTATAATGAACAATAAATTGATTTATGCTTGCTCGACAAAATTTGTGTTTCAATGTTACAGTATTTTTACCGCGGAAATTGATATTTATCTGTCAAGTCTGCCAAATCTGAATTAGGCTGATCAAAATTTCGCAGCTGCTCGTTGTTCTCGTGTCTCGGACTGTACATTATACTTACTCTGTATAATGTAGCCTTATGTAGTGTCTTATACTGAATATTCGGCAAATGAATTTTCTTAATTAAAAATTGCCCGTACTGCCATGGAAAGATGTCAATGTTCATTGAAAAATTTGATGGATACAATATTTTTAAGCATAAAAGTACGGAATGTTTATTTCTTACAGATACAACGCTCGTGGCTTCGATTTGAACCGAAACTTTCCCGACTATTTTAAGCAAAACAAGATTAAAAGCCAGCCAGAAACCGAAGCTGTTAAAGAATGGGTGTCGAAAATTCAATTTGTTCTATCCGGAAGCTTGCACGGTGGTGCCTTAGTTGCCAGTTACCCGTTTGACAATACGCCGAATTCGCGTAAGTTTGTTTTCGTACGCAATTGCTAGATTCTGTTTTATATTATGAAAATTAGTTTTCTTTATTATTTCGTAATGACGGGTTTTAATATCCTGTAGAATTAGAATGAAATATCTACGAATATAAGAGAAAGATTAGCAGTGTTCAAAATTATCACTATTTCATTAAAAGTGATGCGAATTTTTGTGTGAAATTGCTTGCAGAGATTTTAGTGGCGTCTTCGACTTTTTTAATTTAGAACATATTTTAAGTACTCGAGTACAATAATTCAATATTTCTATGCATTTCCATATCGTCGATTACATATTATGACGAACTATTTCCGGCAACAGTATTAGCATTTTAATTGAGACGTAGAACGTGTCTTCGATGCGTATCCACACGACACAGTGGAGTTCGTTCAAACTATGCCTAACATTAAAATCATAACGTAAACTCATATTTTTTTAACGAACGAAGTAGCATTTGTTCAATTATAGATATGATTGCAACATAACGACCTACGATTAGACTGTCATCGATGAATTAAGAATACGATATAGAAAATCTGTTAAATTATTAGCGAATATGTTGTAAAAAAAGGGTAGGTAGATCAATTGTTTTGCTTAACAAATTAGCGCAGGCATTGAAAAAGGAAGGATTCATTGAAAATCTTGACCAGTAACAATCTCACCAACAATTCAAATGCTTTTTATAAAAAAGAAATTATACATTTGGCAATGTATACCTAAATATTTCTTGAGTATTTTGATAATTCTTTATATTTGTAATGACTTGAGTAACGATTCTATTTTAGTCGATATGCTTCAATACGATTCGAGACAAAAATCTGAACTGTTTCTGAAAATATAAAGATAGCCTATACTACGTAACTTAACGACGATTAAAAGCAATCTCATCCTATTGTATAACTTTTCATGCTGTCAGGAATATGCCGGTCAGCGCCATTGTGTGCAGGTATATGGTGTATTTGCTAACTGATTCATCTATTGAAAGCCTTTATAACTGTTGCCAATTAATTTCTCTCAGGCTTGAATTCGAAACGAATTTTAATTTACCCACATAGTAAGCTGAAGCTTTTGCATTGTTATATCATTTGCATTGTTGCTAACTTTTAATAACATAAGCGAAGACTAAATTAAACAGTTTACATGTTTCTTTGAAATGATGTTTACAATACTTTAATGCTTGAAAGTGTTACTTGATTCTCACCTACTTCTGTATCAGTGAGTAATGAGTAAACCACTATCTCTCTCTCTCTCTTATTAAACTCAATGACAATTCGAAAGTATATAAGAAGCACACGCTGTTCGTTTAATATTCGTTGGATTGAATTAGTATCCGTTTAATCGATAGTGCGCTATTTTGAAAATGATACGCCACTTTACACAACATTGCCATGCTATTAACAAATTAGTGGATTACGCATTCGTATACCTAATAGGTACTTGAACACTGTTTACTTTATCATTCATACCCGAAAAGAAAAACTCAACGATGAATAATATTTTATTAGGTGTACCAATAAATCCAACACCGTTTCAACTAATCGAGATATACATATGTGCATAACCAAAAAGCTCCGCAAGTTCTAGTTTAATCTTAAAAGTTAATGTTAACACTATTTTTACCAAAGGGTTCGAAGGACACCTCCTCGAATTTTAATTTAAAGTTATTTTCTGAGTATAATCACACTTCTCCTCAATTATAACTGGCAAAAAGATCTGTAATCATAACTGGCAAAATTTTATTTAAAAGATTCCAACCATTATAATCGTTATTCTCTATGAAACTTCTGCCATCGTAATCGTCTCACTTTTCTGATTAAAATAACACCAAACACGATATAATTACGATTACAATTACTTATGTAACAAGCGATTCGAACGGACTTCGTTACATAACTAATTATAATCGTAATTATATCGTGTTAAGGAATTTTGATTTTTGAATTTAAAAGGCCGAGCTTGCACACACGAGTCCCTTAATACTCTCACCCAATTATTTGTTTAAAATTGAAAATTAATTTTTATGCTAATTTGTTATGTTATTCTAATTTGATTAACATCTGTAAGAATATTGAAAAAACAATTCATATCGTGCAATTTAACTTTTCAAATTTAACTTGATTAAACAAAGTGCTTCAATGTTATGAAATATTTGAGGTTGTGACGTGACGGGGTATTTCTAATTCAATCGCTATCTTTCTCTACACTTCAGAACACTACAAAGATTAGTAAACCTCTACCGTAATTGAAATTCTTCAAACCCGACGTTGCACCGGTGTTACGAAGAGAATATTGTATCATTAATTTGGTATAAATAAATATATACAAAAGATCGGTAAAAATAGTGTTAACCACTTGAACTACGATTTCTTTCACAACTACTTATGCAACCTTAATAATTTCCTTAATAAAAACAAGACAATTTTTTTTCTTACATGTCTTTATTTACGTTACTTCTTAAACTCCGATAATAAAAGAATCAAATTTTAATTCGATTTAAAAAAAAATGAATAACATTCATATTTAGTAGATTATCTATGAAATCTTCATCACGAGTCTATTTCGTTGTCATAGTGTAAGAGGTTAACGACAAATAAGCTGTATTTATAGTGTATTATATGCACATAAGCATTCAAGAAAGTATTTGTTTGTTGAAAATAGGAAAATAATGGAATTATCGATGCGCCTAATAAAAAAATATTATTAATATTTCGGAATCTCATATTGCATTTCCCATTTATTTTGCGTAATTCGTGCTTTGCAGTTAGTTCTCCTGCGTTATAAGAATTCCCGTAAGTGGAATCTGATCCAAGATCTATAAGAGCAATTTAGTGTTTCAGAGTTATACATCGGCGCCAAGCATTTCGCCGGACGACGATGTGTTCCAACACTTGTCGCTAGTATATTCCCGGAACCATGGGTCCATGTACCAAGGACTCCCATGCTCCCAATCGCAACCTGGATTTAAGAACGGTATCACCAATGGCGCGCAGTGGTACCCGTTAACTGGAGGAATGCAAGACTTCAATTACGTTTGGAATGGGTGCATGGAAATCACGTTGGAGCTCTCGTGTTGCAAACATCCACCAGCTTCGGACTTGCAATTCTACTGGGATGAAAATCGTGGAGTAAGTTTCGGCCACGTATTTCCTCTATTTTTTCTTGTCGATTTTCTTTCTGCTCAAATAGATCAGTGTTTCCAAAACGTTTTTGGACCATGCTCCACCTCAATGTCGCAATAATGATTGAATAATAATAAATCATGTTTTGAAATAGTTTAACCCCTTGCCCTATAATATCGTGCCAGAAAATTCGTTATAGGGACTTGGAACATGATTTACTGAATATGTATATTATCTTCGTTTTTTAAATCGAAATCAAATTTCAGCCTTCTGTTATCAATATTAAAAATACTATTCCTTGTTCTAATTACCAGCGACATAAACTTACGCGAATAGAATTTTCCAGTATAAAATGTTTTTAATCATCTATTATAATCATTATTCGTTTCGAGAAAATTAAAGAACACTGTTTTCGTTATAAAATATATTATAATTTCGTTAACAGAGAGGAATTATACATTCGTTTGTGAAATAACTTATTATCAGTAGAATTCGTAATGCTGTACATCAAAATAATAAAATTTATAATAAAAATGTGATTTTTATAGGCTCTTATAAAATTCTTAGCAGAGGCTCATAGAGGTGTACGCGGGTTTGTAGTTGATGAGAACGGGAATCCTATCGAAAGAGCGTCTATTAAAGTGAAATCCCGCGACGTTAGTTTCTTAACTACAAAATATGGAGAATTTTGGAGAATTTTATTACCGGGAGTTTATAAACTTGAGGTAATGTATTAATTTCTGTTTTACTTATGTGTTGCAAAAAGAATTTATTTTTAGTAAGCAGAACTTTTGCTACTTAACATTCGAACAGCGAGCCTCGGATTCATGTAATACCAGAACATAAATATTGTTATTTGATTATCTAGTTTCTGATAAGTAATTAAAATTTTTACATGTTTCATTAAGATTCATAGAAAAATGAGCATATCTAAAAGGAATACCTTGAAAAATATGTTGAACAAAATAGATAAATAAAATTATAATGATCCTAAGCATACTCAGTTATATTTTCGTCAAAAAGTTCGCTCAAATGTTCAATATCAGCGTCAACATTTAATTTCTCAAAATTATCTCAGAGTTCGAAATAATTCTCTTTCTTTTTAAGGTATACGCAAATGGATATCTACCACGTGATGTAGAATTTAGAGTAATGGAACAGCATCCAACGTCTTTCAACGTAACATTATACAGGGCAAATGTGAGTATAACATAAAAATGACACGTTTGCAACTTCTGAAACAAACTTTTTAATAACAAAAAGTTTTTCATTTTTCTAATAGTCTCGCAATGTTATCGTCATAAGTGTATTGATTGTTATAAATGTCTTATTAGATAAATAAATTACCACTTAACATATTCTACTATAGTGGATAATCTTGGTGTAAGAGATAGGATAAACTACTTTGTAATTCATTAACAAATACCTGAAAATTGTTTCCTAAAAAAATGAAAAATCTCTGTAAGTTATTATGAATTCACAGTTTAATCGTCGCTTTACTCTTATAATTGTAGTATTATTGTATATTTGAGATTCTTCTAATTAAAACAAGTCTCTCTCTAAACGGATTATTAAAGCTATCCTCGGATTAATTAATAAACAATCTACAGGGTGAGTCATGTAACTCGCACAAATGAAATAACTTTTAAATTACGCTTTTTACGAAAAATTGTTAAATACATAGTCTCAAAGGTAAATAAATTGTTTTGTATGTAGAGAGGTTTCCAAATATTCAAGACCAACTAATTTAAAGTTATTTGAGATCAGCGAGTTAAGCGGCTCACCATGTATAAAATAATCTCTTCGATAAACTTATTCAATTCACACCGTGTTGGTACTCATTTTAATCAGAAAAATCTCAACTATCCATTGATGCTGTAATTGTAAAAGTAAGAGAGTAGTTGTAAATAAAACATTCTTTCCTATTTTTGTATGCCTGCCTCCTCTCTGTTCATTATAATCGTCCTCTATTTTTGTCTACTGAGATAAGATCGTAACGGATAATTACCTTGCCAAATTCGAAGTAATTTGATGAGAGAAGAATGACACTGGGTCGTGTAAATTTAACCATACAGATTTCATCTAAATTTAACCGTGCAACACTGTACTGTTTAACGGTTACGTCGTATTATTTGATCTCTGAAACACAGCTTTCATTAATCGTAATGAAGCGAAGTTTTTTTATTAATTGCAGAGATATCCCAACGAAGAGGAAAATGGGTCTAATTTCTATGCCGGAAACAGGGATCACGTTCATCGTGATCATGTGATACATTTTCAGCCGCACCCTGGAACCAACACGGCTGCCGACGCAAACAGTGGAATATTCTCGTCTCTCAGTAACGGATTTAATTCTTTCGTCAGTAATTGGTTCGGGTGATTAATTATAAATTATTGACCTAAGCCTGGATCGAGTAAATCATTGTCGTTTGACGTAAACGACAAACTTGACACATATTGTGATCGTAAAAAAATTGGAACGAAAATTATTGGGGACAAACTATTCTATCGAGAACGGTTACCAGTAGCAAACTGTTGGAGATGTTTAAATATTTTAATATCGCAATGTTACAATATTTAAATATTTTATTAATCGGAATATTATAGTTATTTATTACTTTATCTTGTTATAGTTTTTTAATATGCTATATCTAATAATGCAGTTGCGAATTTTTCAAAATTATAAAAGTTTTATAAAACGAATTGACGTAGAAGATTGTTGGAATAACAGCGCAATTTATTTTGTAGATACGAAAATATTTCTATTATTTGTCTTACGTAAAAAAAGTTATTTATTTATTATTTAAAACAATACGACTAATATTATTTCATTATTTCTTTTGTTATCTATAGAATCATGGAATGTAT